ATCCCCTGTTGCCCTCTTGTGTCAGTCTCCTTCTTCTAGCTCCCTTTTAAATTCTTCGGTCCACACCTGCTCCCAATCAGTTGATTACTCTTGTCATTGTTCTGTTTGGGATAAATACTCCTCCTCTTCAGTTACTGTTTGCTGGTTCCTAGTTGATTATTTGCTTTTTAAGTGTTTTCCCTGACTAGTTTTAGTTTTTGGTTTCTGTATTTTGTTTTTGGAAGTGGCTTCGGTTGCCTTATGGAACACCGTTGAATCAGCAAAAACACATCTCTGCCTCTTTCTGTCTCTGCATTTGGGTCCTCCAAAACCTCCATAAAACCTGACAAATAGAAACATAAAGCCTATTGTCTAAAAACACTTTTGTAGAAGCTAGAGTATCAACTTAAGCTGTTTTTTTTTGTGGTTTTTTTTTTAAAGCACTTAAAGTATACTGTAAAAGGAAAAGTAATGCAGGAATAATTTTAAGGATAGACACTTTAAAACTTTTGCTGGTTACAGAACTACCCAATTAAAGGAAAGTTTTACTACAATTTTGAATATTAACTTCCTTATACTTAAGTTTCTTAGTTTTCTAACTAAAGGTAACAGCGTCAAATTTAACTTTGCATCATATTGAAAAATGATTTAATTTGATACGTGGCGAACAACAAGTCGGTGCAGTACTGAGTCCTGCCAGAAATGTCTGGATGAAACAAATTACTTTGATTATTTCATTTTTTTAGTTACCAACAGGCCATAACGAAAATGAGTTTTAATAAAACAAAATGAAGAGGTCTCCTTTTAAAATATAATGAGTACAAAGTAGACATAATTGCAAAAAATACAAGGAGTAGAAGTAAATAGTTTTTCGGAAAAAAATTACTACAGTAAAGTATAGGTAGGCAAAATTTGTTCTTAAATGAGGTAAGTATTTGTAATTTGTTACCTGACACATCTGTTTATTAATATTAAAAAGACCTCTAAATCCTAAAATGCTTTGGTTGCTTAATATTGTATAATTGGCATGTATTTCTCTCCATTAATTATACTTTTTTCAGGTCATAGTAAAATTCTAATGCTTTTTTCAAACTCTCTCAAATATCAAAACAGTTGATAGAGAAAATACTGTGGTTGGGATACGACTTATCACCTCAATTTGATGAATGTCACAATGTTGAATGCGCTAAGGTTTGTTAAGGCAGGAGAAAAATGTTTAGAATAGAAAAATACTGTTTACATTAAAGAGAACATTTCTTAGACAGTAATTCTCTATAGGACTGGGTTTGATAATGAAACCATGTCTCTCAGTCACTGGGTTGAGATAATGTCTGTGCTTTAACATGTTTTTCTACTGAAGTCATGCGTGGAAGTTGAGATCACTTTGTAGGAGTGTAAACAGTTTTTTTTATAAAAATCTAATATGTTCATAAGTCAATGCTGTTTATTTATCTGCCATGAGCCTCAGAGCTGATTTCTGTACACAATTTATCTGCTTTACTTCAAAAATAGTTAAAGTTTGGCTCCTTTTTGAGATTCATCCCTTTTAGAGGATATTAGTGTTACTATTCGATGCTGGGGTAAAGAGCTAGGAGGAGAGTAGGCAGAAAGTCTGGCTAATAAATAATGGATTAATGTTTATCAATTTAATAATTTCTTATCCAGTACTGCTGTTTATCGAGCCATGTTAACTCTGACGTACAAATCTTTCATCAAAGAAAGAATAAAAAAAAAAAAAAAAAAAAACGAGCCCAACCACTCAAATAAAGTAAAGTAACATTTTGAATTAAACATATTAATAACAGTTTTTTATTTTTCCATA